ATTGATTATTTCTATATTGATTATTTTTATATTGATTATTTCTATATTAATCATTTCTATGTTGATTATTTTTATATTGATTATTTATATTGATTGTTTCAATACATTTAACTTTATACAATTTCGAATAGGTATATCTAAAGCTCAAAAGGGTTTACATCTTAATGAAGATATTTACGCTGGTATTAACGCATTTAATCGTGGTGGACGTATCAAGCATGCAGAATATTATCAATGTGGTAAAGGCCGTGATCTTGGATTTAGTTCTATCCTCCATTTTACCACTAAAATCAGTACTGGTATGGGAGAACAAATGTTGTCTCGCGAATATTATTATCTTGGAACACAACTTCCTTTGGATCGATTTTTGACATTCTATTATGCACATCCTGGTTTTCATGTGAACAATGTTTTTATTATACTATCGGTACAATTATTCATGTTTGGTATGATGTTCATTGGTTCGATGGCTTCAACTTTGACTTTATGTGAATTCAATCCGGACCCAACAGCACCACTTAATCCGCCTGGATGTCACAATCTTTTCCCTGTCTTTGATTGGATTAAACGTTCAATCATCTCTATCTTTATTGTGTTTTCTGTAGCATTTTTACCATTATTTCTACAAGAGTTGACAGAAAAAGGGTTCTTTCACAGTGTAATTCGTCTTAGCAAACATTTGATGTCATTATCACCATTCTTTGAAGTTTTTACTACACAGATTTGTGCCAGTAGTATAATGTCAAATCTTAACTTTGGTGGAGCACGTTATATCGCTACTGGACGAGGATTTGCTACTTCTCGCATCCCATTTTCGATTTTATACTCGCGATTTGCTGGACCTAGCATTTATTTTGGAATGAGAATCTTGTTAATTCTACTTTTTGTCACCATGACAATGTGGTTACCACATCTTATGTACTTTTGGGTCACAGTCATAGCTTTATGTATTTCCCCATTCATTTTTAATCCGCATCAATTTTCACTCTCTGAATTTATCATTGATTACCGAGAATTCTTAAGATGGATGTCACGTGGAAATTCCAAATCTCATACCAATTCTTGGATTGCTTATTGCCGTGCATCTAGGACAATGATTACTGGTAATAAACGAAAACGATTGGGGCACCCTTCAGAGAAATTAGTTGATATTCCAAGACCAAATTTTGCAATTATTTTTGTATCGGAAATCTTATCACCGTTCATATCGGCAGCACTTTGTATAATAGCTTTTATGTTTGTAAATAGTTTCGACCATATAAACCCCGGAACTCCAAACAAAGGACCTAGTGCATTCATACGTATTTGCGCCATAGCTACTGGACCAATTGTAATGAATGCTATCGTGCTTGCTGGACTCTTCTTTGTCTCGTTTTGTCTTGGACCTATTATGAATAGATGTTTTTCCAAATTTGGATCAATTATAGCAGCTATTGCACACACTTGTGCAGTTCTTAATTTAATTGGAGCTTTTGAACTTTTGTGGTTTATTGAAACTTGGAATTTAAGTTACGCAGTATTGGGAATGATTGCACTAACAGCTATTCAACGATTTATTTGTAAATTTTTGATCGTTGTTTTTTTAACACGAGAATTTAAGCATGACGAATCAAATCGAGCGTGGTGGACAGGAAAATGGCATGGTCATGGAATTGGTGTGTTAAAGATCACCCAACCTTTCCGTGAATACATTTGTAAAATCGTGGAAATGACATTATTTGCCGCAGATTTTATACTATGTCATATTTTGTTGTTCATGTTAGCACCTATATGTTTAATACCTTGTATTGATAAATGGCATTCCACTATGTTATTCTGGTTGAGACCGAGCAAGCAAATTAGAGCACCAATTTTTTCATATAAAAATAATCAACATAGAAATGATTAATATAGAAATAATCAATATAAAAATAATCAATATAGAAATAATCAAT